GTAGTCGTAGTAGTAGTAGTAGCAGAAGCATCGTAGTATCGTAGTACCGTAGTACCGTAGTATCGCAGTATCGCAGTATCGTAGTATCGTAGTAGTAGTATCGTAGTAGTAGTAGTAGTAGTAGTAGTAGTAGTAGTAGTAGTACTAGTAGTACTAGTAGTAGTAGTAGTAGTAGTAGTAGTAGTAGTAGTAGTAGTAGTAGTAGTAGTAGTAGTAGTAGTAGTAGTAGTAGTAGTAGTAGTAGTAGTAGTAGTAGTAGTAGTAGTAGTAGTAGTAGTAGTAGTAGTAGTAGTAGTAGTTATAGTAGTAGTAGTAGTAGTAGTAGTAGTAGTAGTAGTAGTAGTAGATATAGTAGTCGTAGTAGTAGTAGTAGTAGTAATAGTAGTAGTAGTAGTAGTAGTAGTAGTAGTAGTAGTAGTAGTAGTAGTAGTAGTAGTCGTAGTCGTAGTCGTAGTCGTCTGCGGCCCCACACTGGGCCGAGCATGGCGGAGCCTTCCCGGGAGCTCGCGGGCGGTAAGCTCTACAGGTCTCAGCCGGGCCGGCCCCTTCACAGGGGGAAGATTCAAGAGTAGTTAACACAATTGGTTGGGGACGACTTGAGCGTTTTTGTTTGTAGTTTTGGCGTATGCGTTTTATTTTTCGTCCAAAACCCGTTTGTCGGGGGACATGTCCGACCTAACTCTAGGTGACGCGCCCACTCTTCAGCCCCCACGGCCCTTTCCAGAGGCCCCCCAGAGGCTCGAGACGCACAGAACAACAACAACAACAACAACAACAATAACAGCAACAACAACAACAACAATCACAACAACAACCACAGCAACAACAATATCAACAATAACAATAACAAAAACAATCACAACAACAACAACAATCATTTTAAGACTGTTTGCCCTTATCTGCTCGAGTGTCTAGCAACGCGTACTTCCCAGACCCTCGATACCCGCCCTGTCCGTCTTCGATCGAACCCTTTTTGGGGGGTAGACCGTTCTTCCCTGCAGGCCGGGCCCCGGCAAGCGGCGGGGCGGCCGCGGACTGTCGGCCTGGCCAGCGGCAGCGCTGATCGGCGGGGCGGCCGCGGACCGTCGACCCGACCCCAAGAGGGACAGACAGGGGACCGACCACGACGACGTCGACGACGACGACGACGACGTCGACGTCGACGTCGACGACGACGGCGACGGGGACGACGAGCGAAAGCGAGAGCGAGAGAGAACGACAGCAAGGCCACGAAGGACACGAAATAGGCCACGAAGGGCGACAGCGGGGACACGAAGGGATTGCGTATGGGGCCACGAAGAGCGCGAACGAGCGGGGGCCACGAAGGGCAGATAATGCGGGGCCAGAGTAGGCAACGATGGAGCTACTGAGGGTAGCAACTGGGCCACGTAGGACAGTGAGGGGACCACAAACGGTGACAGCGGGGCCACGAAGGGTACGCGCATGGGGCCACAACGGGCGCGACTCCTGGATGCCTGGGTGTCGGGAGCGCGGCGCTTAAGCAAATTGCAGGAAAATCCAACAAAAGGGTGCTATTCTTCAGTAAGTCTACAGCGAGAACGCGACTCCAGAGCGCCGGGAGAGCGATTCTTGAATACATTGCAAGGAAGTCCCAATCGAAAGCGCGCTTTCTATATAAAATGCGAGGAAGTCTCGGGCGGGAGCGGGGGTCCTGGCTAAATTGTGAGAAAATCATAGGCGGGAGCCGTTGTTGTTGTTGTTGAATATTATTACTTCTAAAGAAATATTATTGTTGAGACCCCTGGTGCGCGACCCCCCTCCAAAACCTAGGCCGCAGCCTCATTTCCTTCATTTTCTAGCGAAAGCTTCAGAAAAGTGGATTGTCACCGGATCCGGTTGTTTTGTTGTAATCCGTTTTCCCTTGCAAAAAACACTATAAAATGAAAATTCTTGTTCTTACTTGATCAAATTGCAAGAATCCCTTGCAAAAAATAAGGTAAAGTGGACATTCGTGCGCGCAAGACGAAATCCTTCCAAAACCTTAGGTTTCGTAACGATTTTAACATAAAAACATCAAAAACCCAATGGTTTTTTCAAGAAAAAATTGTCAAAATCTCTTCCGCGCGCTCTTGC